TTAAAAAAATCAGATTTATTAACTGTATGTAACAATGGTGATTGTTATGTTATAATAAACTGTAGAAACTTTACTAACACCAAGGTATTTATTGTTAGTTCTGTCTTAACCATTTTATTGGTTGATCTGTGATTTTTGATCTCATGCATACTAAACTTATATTTCTTATGAGTGCTAATCATAATCAATACTTGCTTAGGCTTAAGAGAAAATGATATATTTGCTTATGATTGGTGCCAACAGTAATTAATTGGGGTTATTGAAGATTCAATGTTATTTTAATCTACATGGCAAACAAATAAAAATAAAACCTTGCTGTATTTGCAGGTAAACCATTTGCACATGTATCATGGTGGTCTACTGAAAGTGGTTTAACTATTCACAAAGGGTCTTGATATGTGATTATCACATGGTTTGGTCTTTGTCAAAACAATTACATAGTGAAATTAAAATTGATGAAAAAAGGGAAATGATATAACTCCCTCAATTTTTTTTTCAATCGATAGCCTTGGCTTAGAAAAGTACATTTTATATCTACTTTGTTGTACTCAAGACAGCAGTGGACATTCTAAATGTCTAGTCTGCTAAATATGAATGAATAGTATACTGAAAGTCTTTGATGACCAGGTTGCCCTTAGTGTATCATGAATGTTTAACTTTCATCAAATGAGGTCAAAGTTAGTTGGTCCTGTAAAAAGTACATGTACATATAACAATGAATCTTCTGACCAAATATTGTCTGACCTATGTTTGGGTTATAACATGTGCTAACCAAGAAAATGAACTGAATGTTGATTAATGAACCATGAAAATGAGGTCAAGGTCAGTTGACCTATTACTTATATACTTACTTTAAGTCCTTGCTATGCCTGATGGCCTAAACAATGCAGCCCTAACAATGATTCAATAGATCAAATATTATCAATCATAGTAACAAAAATGCATGCATTGTTGTACTTAGCATACCCCCACAATACCAGAACAGAACGTTGTTGTCTGACAAATTCAAAATGTGCTTACACATTACAACTCATTACTGCTGAGCTGCTGACTAATTATGAAGTACTATTTTTAGTAATTTCTTTGAAAAGTGTGACAGAATTAGAGACAAAATATAGTTGACCTATTACTAGTATTTACTTTTTTGGTGTCTGTCACTAGGTCCTACTGAACTGTTGCTATTGCAAGATTCTCTTTAATTATCCACTCTGTGCAGAGAGTTCATCCCCAATATTTTATAACTTTATAATATGATTCAGGTTTATCTTCCATTCAACAGAACTACGTTTTATTCAAAATCCATAAGTTTTAATACTGGAAACCTCAATTTCTTAATACATCCACAGAAATCAATATCAATAAACTTAAGTAACATTGATAAATCTTCCGCTAATTAAACACAACATATTAATGACGTTAATCAGTAGGCAATTGTGACATCATAATTCTTGGTCAATTGCAACCTCACGTTAAATCATATTAATATGTAATGCCGATGTTTCTTTATTCAAATTATGTTTGATCTGATTCACTCTGAATTCTTCTCCTATAATTCATAATTTTTAAATGGTTTTTTTAACATTTATTTTATTTCTCATATTGAAAGCTGAAAAACATTTAAATTTACTTTGTCAAAACAATTTGAAAAAAAAAATTGTAGGTCCTCTTGTATGTCAAGCAACATCATAGAAATAATCTATTTCTTAAAACTGTAACATTTAGAGCAAGTTTTCTTTAAGATAATTATGAACCTAAAGATTGGCAATTAAGTAAAGTAAGAAAAAAAGATAAAATCCTTACGCCTATAAAAATGTAATAAAGCTTTACAGCAATTTACCAGAATACAAGTAGAGGCTTTAGAATCTGTATTATAAAGTCTGTGTATCATTGGCTTTTTTGTTGACAAACTTTGGTTTTGTTTATTATACTTTTATATGATATGTGAATTGGAGAATATTATACACTGATTAGAATCCCAGACTGCAATTTAATGATAGATCATTGTTAGATGTAATTGATTTGGCTTTTTCTTCCAGGGTATTGACCCTGATAACTACTATACTGTTTACCCTACAGCATGGTTAAATTCATTTGCCTATCCAATTTTCTGCTTCTATTTTACTCTGAAAATATGGAATCATGAAAAGTATAATCCTTCAATGGAGGAATTAGAAATAATCTAGCTAGCATTTTAACTTCATGAACTAATATTTAATCAATATCAAAAATATGTTAAGTATTTTAAAATTTGTAAACTTATGAAAAACAAAATAGCTACAATTAACTATTGCACTTATATTTTCCATATTTTCAACTTTCATACTTGAAAATTCATCCAAGAGAGATTGAGTAAAATTTGTGATATTTGATGCCTTTCTTTGGTAAAATTGAAAATATAAGTTTATACCAATGTAAAATGAAAAACTAACCTTGTTATTCAATAGACAGATGTAAATAAGTGAAATTCAACAATAATCTGTCACAACATTTGCAACTGACAATACCTACACATGTGGTTGATAACGAAACCACTTCAAGTGATATCTACCACAATATTAACCTTAACTGACAAAACCTACACATGTGCTTTATAATGGAACCACTTCAAGTGATATCTACCACAATATTAACCTTAACTGACAATACCTACACATGTGCTTTATAATGGAACCACTTCAAGTGATATCTACCACAATATTAACCTTAACTGACAATACCTACACATGTGCTTTATAATGGAACCACTTCAAGTGATATCTACCACAATATTAACCTTTAACTTACAATACCTACACATGTGCTTTATAATGGAACCACTTCAAGTGATATCTACCACAATATTAACCTTAACTAACAAAACCTACACATGTGCTTTATAATGGAACCACTTCAAGAGATATCTACCACAATATTAACCTTAACTGACAATACCTACACATGTGCTTTATAATGGAACCACTTCAAGTGATATCTACCACAATATTAACATTAACTGACAATACCTACACATGTGGTTTATATTCGGAACCACTTCAAGTGATATCTACCACAATATTAACCTTAACTGAACCTTATAAAGAAATGACATCTAAAATCATTCAGAATGCATTAGAGTACTACATCAAAATGTAATTAAACTTCAAAAATATTTTTATTTTTGATATTTCAATATTGTAATAACCTCATTAACATAGCAAAATAACAATTAACACTAATCAAACACAACTTGTCAGCCAATACACAGTAATTAATTAATCATTAAACTAGTAGGCGCTAGTTTCTATAATTTATTCATTAACTTTTGTATGTTAAAACACCCAACTAAAACCATTTTCTATATATTGAAACTAAAATATGGCAACACAGATCAGAAGTCTAAGAGCCTTGTCAATCTTTCTCCAATAATGGACTTGATGAACCTATACTTGTAATAAACTGGGTCTGGGGTCATCAATGGAGCCATCACTAAGAGCCTTGTCCATCTTTCTCCAATAATGGACTTGATGAATCTTTACTTTTAATAAACTGGGTCTGGGACCATCAATGGAGCCATCACTAAGAGCCTTATCCAACTTTCTCCAATAATGGACTTGATGAATCTATACTTGTAATAAACTGTGTCTAGGGCCATCAATGGAGCCATCACTAAGGGCCTTGCTCGAGTTAATAACTTAAATTGAAATTGTCATGAAATTTTATAAGAAACCAAGGTTATTCCATTTAAACATAACTTATATACAAGGGAGGCAGAAATTTTACTGATTCATTGCTATAGTTAAAGGGATTTCAAAGTTGGAGAGTGGAAACATTTTTTTTACCATGACTTTAAATGTATCGTTTTTATCCTTGACACATCTTCTAACTGTGTTGGGTAATCACATTTTACCCAACATTAAAGAGTTTTGAAGTTGGAGAGCAGAAACAATATGTGACAGATGGATGGACAATACATTAAGGCCTCAAACTTATAACTTAATAACAAAGCAGAAATCATCATGTAATAACTATAAATTATCTATGGAGAGAAATGTAGACCAAAAACTTTCTTAGGGTTGCAAGACCTTAAATAATGTGGTTATCACGTTTGGGCAACTTTGATCCAAAGTTTTCATAACACAAATAAACACTATAGAACACAATTAAACAAGTTAAAATGACATTAAAACATATAGGCTGATTTTTGTAATAATAGTACTTGAAAGTCTCTACTGAGTTGAAACCCCAATGCATAAAATGGTTCCAGAATCTCTCTCAATTCTACAAACATCACCGGACAATTAAGAATATATAATAGCTGGGATGACTTTATCAGTAGGACAATAGTTGTCAAGCACAGACCAGGATGCAAAATGAGGTTCTTTCCTTTAATCAATAAATTTTCTATCAAAATATGAATTCTTCATAAAATTATACATTACTGACAGGAAATACAACACAAGTGTATTGTAGATATTATAGTATGAGGACAGAAACCCTATGTCTCTGCCAGATAGAAAACATTGAAAGCAAGATGTTCAAAGTTGTAAAGAATGTCTTTTCCAAGGCATCTTTAAAGCAGCAGTATTTAATATCACTGAGAAGATATATAAAGAGCATAGTCCTCTGATTAGAAGACACAGACATATAAGACAAGATATTATAAAAAGAAAAGATAATGCCTAGCATGCAAATACACTTTGGAACATTGCATTTTTAACATGTCCTCAATATCTAAACAGAACTTGAAACATATGTAGTAATACAAAAGTTAATCAATTAATTAATTTCTCAAAATTCAATTTATATTTTTTTCAGAAAGATCCAACGCTTGCTGGTGAAACAAATGAACCATTAAAACTATTACTTTGCAGTATTTTATGAGTATTGTTGTCTTTAATGTCGGTATATTATATTTTTCAGGTCAGTGGATTTTTGGACCATTTCTTAACATCTATTTTCATTGTTTATTTTTAAATTTGTGTTTTTATCAATTATTTGAACAAGTTTTTCTTATTTTTCAGGTCAGTGGTTGTTTGGACCAGTTCTTTGTGATTTTTATGTGACTGCTGATGTCTTCATGTGTACTTCCTCTATACTTCATTTATGTACTATATCACTTGAAAGATTCATGGCTATACGAGCACCTCTTTCAAACCGTAATAAATCAAAAACTGTTGTGATATTAAAAATAATAATGGTGTGGGTTATTGCTGTGACAATATCTAGTCCAATTACAATTTTAGGATTTATAGACGAGTCAAATGTTTTGAGTGGGGACTACTGTGTTCTAAGCAACAAACATTTTATGATATATGGATCAATATGTGCTTTCTTCATTCCACTTTTCATCATGATTTTATCCTACAGTATAACTTTGTATTTACTCATAAGACAGTCTAAAAAGTGTCAAAGAGGAAATCACAATGGTAAACCTATAATAAGGAGATCTCTGAGTCGAAAACCTGTTCAACGCCGTCCATATGTACGATTTCAATCAAAACTCACTTCTCCAAATGGAAGTATTGTCGGCAATGCCGATAATCAGTTTTCACCAATGATAGGTAGAAAGCAAGGCAGAAAACAAAGATTACATCCCAGCTTAACTTTTCCTATACAAAAGAATACCCCATATCTTAGTCCGGGAGATGTATCACCTGAGAAGGAATGTTCTGTGTATCATTCACAAGAAGTGTTAAACAGTAAATGGGGTAAAAAGACCCACTTTAATCTTTCAAGTCCATCAGCGTTATCTAGACTAATCAAGAAACATCAAATGGAGCTTAAAGAAGCAAGAATAAAAACAGATGATGTTCAGACTGAACAGAAAGCTTCAAAAGTCATAGGAATAGTATTTATAATATTTGTAGTCTGCTGGGCGCCATTTTTCATCAGCAACATTACTTCAGCCTTGTGTGATAAATGCCACTTCAGTCAGACACTGATTTCAACTTTCGTGTGGCTTGGCTACTTGTCAAGCACGATAAATCCTATTATTTATACAATGTTTAACAAAACATTTAAAATGACCTTTAAAAAACTGATACTTTGTCAATATGACACGCTTCAACGTAAAACACGGGTTCAACGTTGGATGTTAAGTAATGGAATAAGTCACTATCCAACAAGCTCCAGTACGGTTAGCTTAGAGACACCATGCTGACCAAACATAAAAATCATTTTACAGTGAAGTACAATTTACCTGACAGAAGCCAATTAATCATCAACTGAGATCATCTCAAACTGTTTTTAATTGTCTCAAAGATGGATTTCCAATATTAAAATAATAATATATCTTCTTTAATTTCTACTTCAACTTCATTTGTTAAGAAATATCTTGATCAAGTGCTATCATTAACGTAAATAATAAACATCAACAAAAATAACCACAGCTCCTAATTATTAATATTATTGGAAATACATAATTCACTGATGGGTAGTGAACATCAGCAGAAGAACTTCAGAGATAAAATTTAGAATCTTTCATCTTTTTTCTGTGATCATTCAGTGTTTCTATCTCGATCAGCAATGTTACAGCATTTATAACTTCTGTTCAGAATGCATTTAGAAATGTGTCATTACAATCATAAGTGGATCACTAGATAGAAATACCCAATAAATCATTGGAAATCTCTTATTACATTTTGCTCACCTGAATTTCACAATCACAAGTGAAATTCACCTCAAATAAGCTTAAGCATGAAACTCGTGTGAAAATTTTCACATTAATTTTTTGTAAACTGAGATTCACATGAATCTCATGTTTTTCAACAAGTCTGAAAATTTAAATGTTATTTAAATAACTTTATTTTTGAAAATTCATGTGAATTTCACGTGAAAAAAAATCATGTGAAATTCGTGTGAGTTTAACTTTAGCTTCACATGAAACTTATGTGAAATCAGTTCAAATGAGATTCACATGAATCTAAATTTACATGAAACTCATGTGAGTGAAATTTCCCTGTGTACTCATTTATAACAACACACAATCAGGGACCATTTTGACTCCTGGTTTAATGTTTTTCAACAATATATAACTATCCCTGGTAGATTTGTTCCTGCTTGATTAATCTACTTAAGTAGTTTTTGCTAGAATGGTGGTTTCACAAAATCATTATAAAAACAAAAAGTATAGGAAATGCTAAACCACTCCATCATGGAACATGTTAGAAATATTGGCTCCTTTTTAAAACGGTCATTAGAACTGAGGGCAGAAAGTCTTAAAATTTTGTTCCCATGTGTTCATCTAAAACAGAATTGTTATTTCTTTGCTATATCATGTTTTGTTTTGTTATGTCACAAACTAAATATGTTTAAATGACAATAAAGATATTAAGGTATTAAAAACACAAAAATGTTACTTATGTGAAAAAAACTTAAATATTACAATTCTGTTTGGATATTGTCTCATTAATGATTACTTTACAGGTGGAAGAAAAACCTTGGAACGAAAACTTATCAATGCCCAATTGTATACACATACCGGTAATAGCTGCAAGTTTTGACACTTTCCAGCAAGCTTGGTGCCAGATGATAGCTTTTAGTTTAACCTGGGTTTAGCTAATTTTAGACTCTCTATAATGCAAAACAAAACAATATTAGCAACAAATATACCAACATAGGTATCTGAGGTTTGTTGACTATCCTTGAGGATGACCATGTATCTGTATAGTGTGCACAAAACAAATCTGATAAAACTATCTCTCCTTGTATCTGACCCATAACATTACAGATCTGATGATGGACATCACTACATGATTCACATGATCAAAGTCATCATCAGAGATGCCAGATTATAGTAGAGCAAAATTCTTTAATACCTTTTATAAGACATTTTTTCCCAATTTTGCAAGTTTTTATTAGTTGTTTTAAGATTACAAGTTTATCTGAAGTTCACTGCCAGAGAGTCAAGCCACAAATTTAACCAACTGTTAATTAGAATTAGCTTTGCTAAATAGCACAAATAAATAACTCTCCCACAATTGTAAAATAACATAATTTATCTTGAATATCTGATTCGCTATTTCACTGATACATTAAAAAGATGGACCCACACTAGAACTTTAGAGATGTCTCCGTCCACAACTGAGAATAAAAATCCAGACATTTCTATGTAAAATTATTGTATGTTGCAAATCACACTATAGAATATAATCTGAACTACCTTAGGACAACCTCTGTTAAGATAGGTCATATATTGAGAGCAGTATTCTTCTCTAACAAAATTTTGGTCTATAACCTTGTTTGAACGCATTTCCGTCATTTATAATCATAATTTTAAGAAAGATCATAAATCACTTTCCAAAAGATATTTGTAGAATTTTGTCCTTTGGTGGGTTGGTCAGAAACGTGTTCCATTAAATTTTTTGTCAAATTTGAAATTTTTGGAGTAAAATGATCTATTTTTGTATAATTGAGAAGCTCAGAGCTTTGATGATTCATTTTGAAGTAAATCATTGACCTATGCTTTGCCCAAATCCTGGTATTTATATGATTTTTCACCATTGTACTAATTGAGCATTTTATTGATTTTATTTTATCTTATGTTCTCCTTGACCCAATGGAGACCACATTGGTTGATCAGCCGAACTAAACTAAACACCGGCCTCGTAACTCAGCATTGTGGCAAATAACTGGTTTCAGATAAAAACTCTGGTTTCAGATAAAAAAAAAGAATTTCTGAAATGTTATGGACAGATAACAAATAAAATGTAGCAAAGGTGTCAATAACTGAAACTGGTCCTTCATTCTAGATCAGGGAACCAGTCAAAACTTGATGTTTATGATTATTTACCTGATAGAAGGGTTAAACTAAGGACTCTACTCCCATAAAATACTGATAAAGTAAGCAAAAAAAACCAGATATAAATATTACATATCACACAGCTATTAAATATGATAATACATTTATCTTGTTTTATGAGAAATGTCAACATTTTGACAGAAAATACACTGAAGTCTAGAGTAAAGCTGTAGAAATGTTAATATCCTCAAGTCTTTATGAATCGTAAAACAGATAAAGATGATGTTGTAGGGTGCAATTTCTTATCATTCCAATATATATTTTATCATCATACTAATCAAATGGTTCTGCAGTTTTGAATTTTATGGAAATGATTTTTTACTTCAGGCAATGTCAGCAACCATTTTAAAGCTGTTTATGTATTGGTACTGGAAAAAAAAAACCATTTCAATCGAACAGTTCAAAGACTTTTTTCAATAAATTTTAATCTTTGGATGTAATTCGGACCATTTCATTACTTTTTAGAGACCATTAACCTTCAGAGCCCAATCAGATATTTTTACAAACAAACCTATCTGTTTAGATCAAATCACTTAATTCTTATCTTTCTAGTATCCTGTTTCCACTGAGAAATATCATCTAATTACAGTACATCTTGATGGTAGGAGCCATGAAAGTGTGGATGGGGCATGATAAGATTTTATCAAGTTTTTGTTTCATTTAATCACAAGTGTTTACAAAGCTCCTCAATTAAGATAAAATATTCAAAGCAGCATGTCTGGTATCAATTTACATAAATATTTCTAACATAATGAAACCTATCTACCATTTCAACACTACAAACAAGGATAGACAGAGTATGGGGGACAAACACATAATGAAACCTATCTACCATTTTAACACTACAAACAAGGATAGACAGAGTATGGGGGAAAAACACATAATGAAACCTATCTACCATGTCAACACTACAAACAAAGATAGACAGAGTATGAGGGACAAACACATAATGAAACCTATCTACCATTTTAACACTACAAACAAGGATAGACAGAGTATGGGGGACAAACACATAATGAAACCTATCTACCATTTCAACACTACAAACAAGGATAGACAGAGTATGGGAGACAAACCCATAATGAAACCTATCTACCATTTCAACACTACAAACAAGGATAGACAGAGTATGAGGGACAAACACATAATGAAACCTATCTACCATTTCAATACTACAAACAAGGATAGACAGAGTATGGGGGACAAACACATAATGAAACCTATCTACCATGTCAACACTACAAACAAGGATAGACAGAGTATGGGGATAGACAGAGTATGGGGGACAAACACATAATGAAACCTATCTACCATTTCAACACTACAAACAAGGCTAGACAGAGTATGGGGATAGACAGAGTATGGGGGACAAACACATAATGAAACCTATCTACCATTTCAACACTACAAACAAGGATAGACAGAGTATGGGGGACAAACACATAATGAAACCTATCTACCATTTCAACTTTACAAACAAGGATAGACAGAGTATGGGGATAGACAGAGTATGAGGGACAAACACATAATGAAACCTATCTACCATTTCAACACTACAAACAAGGATAGACAGAGTATGGGGGACAAACACATAATGAAACCTATCTACCATTTCAACACTACAAACAAGGATAGACAGAGTATGGGGATAGACAGAGTATTGGGGACAAACACATAATGAAACCTATCTACCATTTCAACTTTACAAACAAGGATAGACAGAGTATGGGGATAGACAGAGTATGAGGGACAAACACATAATGAAACCTATCTACCATTTCAACACTACAAACAAGGATAGACAGAGTATGGGGGACAAACACATAATGAAACCTATCTACCATTTCAACACTACAAACAAGGATAGACAGAGTATGGGGGACAAACACATAATGAAACCTATCTACCATTTCAACACTACAAACAAGGATAGACAGAGTATGGGGGACAAACACATAATGAAACCTATCTACCATTTCAACACTACAAACAAGGATAGACAGAGTATGGGGATAGACAGAGTATTGGGGACAAACACATAATGAAACCTTTCTACCATGTTAACATTACGAACAAGGATAGACAGAGTATGGGGGACAAACACATAATGAAACCTATCTACCATTTCAACACTACAAACAAGGATGATAGACAGAGTATGGGGGACAAACACATAATGAAACCTATCTACCATGTCAACACTACAAACAAGGATAGACAGAGTATGGGGATAGACAGAGTATTGGAGACAAACACATAATGAAACCTATCTACCATTTCAACACTACAAACAATGATAAACAGAGTATGGGGATAGACAGAGTATGGGGAACATACACATAATGAAACCTATCTACCATTTCAACACTACAAACAAGGATATACAGAGTATGGGGGACAAACACATAATGCTGTTATACAATGACTTTATACTGTCTAAACCAACTTTAAGTGATGCTTCATACAAATAATTTAATTAATGCATTTTTTGGGGTCCTATA